CGTAATTTAATGAGTACTACTTATAGTACCATTGTCCACTATACTATGGCCAAAGCTATAATTCACTATTGTTAAACACAAATAAATTCATCATTCGTTCTTAGAAATAGAAAAACAATCACGACCATAAGTTGCTACAGACTCAATGATCCATACATGAGCTTATCTTGATTGTTCAATATTCATTTACAAGGACGATATGCCTTTTCCGCTTAATTCCACCTTAAGACGCATCCCACCGCACAAACTTTTGTTCTTTCAACGACTTTTCATCCGCTACCGATTATCCGCTCTGAATTTCAATTAGTTTCCATTGCGTTTAATTAAATCAGTTTAATTGATTAATGCGCAGTCCTCCCGTATAAGGAAGGAAGGTCGCCCGAAGCTGGTGTCCTTGAGGACCTGGTCCCTCCGGAGGATGACAGACGACTACTGTCGGGGTCTGTTTTGGTTGGGACATCCGCCCCCTCCTGGCCAACTATTACTGTAGGGTTGTAGTTTGGTTGGACCATTGATACACCTAGGAGTATTATCAAAGGCTGAACTCTGAAGTCTCTAAAGACAGACTTCTGGGCAACAATTACTGTCGGTGTATATTTTGGTTGAACCATTGGCAAACAGTATACTGTGTAAAACGTGACCCTACAGTTAGTTCCTAGTTTGGTTAGACCCTATAATCTGTGATGATTTACGATTGCTTTTTCCTGAGCAGATTCGATTGTCTTTAACACTTGATATCTAGGTTATAACCGCCCTTTCACAAAGAGATTCCTCCACCAATTTCTAGTTATTTTTCCTAATTTTTTTCTGGAAAAATCGTGTTGTTAGTTTTTAGTTTGATCATAGCTTGGGTTCATGGCTCATAGATAGCCGCTTTTTCTTGAGAAGAGTACTGATGTAAATTTTGTCCAAAAGTCTTTGATAATAGTCTACACCTTAAATAAAACGCATGATTTGAGTTCGTTCTAAAATCTTTCATCCAAATATTTTTTTGACATATTGTTGTTCAATTAACGAACCACAAGTATATCAGTGTGCGAAATGTTGAAGGGTGTTTGTGGTGCGGTGATATTTTTACCTCATATTTCTAAGCAGTATGTCTGTGTGGTACAATAACATCCACTCGCTCACCACCACTACACAGCTTCTTTCCGTACTCGCCGAGGTACACGGTTCCCCTCTTAATTGAACGATTACGTTACTATCTCATTTTCTCAATAAAATCGCAATACAATTTAACTTTACGACAGTAATCCCAGTTGTAAATATCGCATGACGTTTACCGCGATCGCAGGGTGACCTAGTCGTAACATTGTTTTGCCACGTATCGTTGCGATTTGCGATTCCGAGAAATAAACTCATCCTATAAACCCATCCCGGGCGATTCACCTTAGCTCGTAAACAATGCGATTGTATGTCTGACAGTGTAATTTAGTTTATCGTCAGATGCGCGGGTTAAACGACGTTTAGTACTCGGCTACAATGGAATTGATAGTTTCGTGTCGTGCAAGTATGAACGTTGCGTTGTTTAAATTGTAAAATGAAATGCTGGTTTCAAATTTACAGTGTGAAATCAGCTGATTGCTTGGAGTGCACACATTTAAGTATGTATGTTATTGACAACTGTATAACACTATTGTAGCTTTCACAGTGAGAGAAATCAAGTGAAATAGATACGGAAGCTTCGGCGAAGGTGACAAGAAAGCTCAGTAACTGATACTTCATTTGGTAACTGTAATCTGAAGTGTTAAGTTTTTTTGGGATGAGTCTTTGTTCTGTTTCCCACAGTATCACGTACCGCGTTAATACCCTATGTAGGTAGACTAGGTGACAATTTCTCTTGATACAATTATACTTGGTTTTAAGTTACACCAAAGGTGAGAAATTGAGAATGTATATCTTACATTATGAGACACCCCTATTGTTATCCTATTAAATGAAATCTGTGTTCTAACGTGTCAAAAATACGGTTCAGAATCCACCCCAACTTTTATTGTTTTTCGTTACCTGCATATCAAGATCTAGTAAAGAGCGGGGCTTCACTTTTCGAGGTCATTGGTTCAAATCCCACCAATCACCAATGGACTTTGCCTGTTAATGAAGCTACCCTTTACGTCTAGCATAATGTGATAACGGTTCTGGGCTAGAGCCTAACCTCCAAGGATGTGAAGGTGTTATAAATTCCCTCTCTCGTTGGTCTACGTGTCCTCTCAAATCACCATACAATCCTCGTCCCTACCGCAGCGACGGCTGTCCACTATGGACGGAAGCCGAGAATCCTCAGATAAGATCATTATGCAGCTATTACCGCATGTCTTCGTCTGACCTACTATCCTCGGTGTTTCCTTGGAAAGAAAACAGTAATAAAAATACTATAAAAACATTCTTTGATCCACCGCTGCGTGCATTGCTCCTGCATAGCTTCTCGCATTAATTACTTATTGTTCTCCCAAGACGAATATGTTACCGTTTTAATAGGTCCAAATGAGGTTTGAGTAGGTCGCAAAGCTGTGGACAGTATGGGTTGGAAGTTTTGAGAGTTCAGGATAAAAGATGTTGAAGGGAAATGGAGGAATTTCACATTCTTTTAAAATATACCCTTTAAAATTTGATACGTATACAGTATGCAAAAAAATACATATACCAACCCTAATATGCTTAGCAATATACCCATTGCTGAATAGCTGAGCTGAATAGACGGTTCGATACTGAATTAAGATAGCTTTTTGACGGTTAGTGGTAGGCGGGGTCCAGCTTTCCTTGATGATTGTGCTCTATCTTATAAAGATCATACATTCATTACTCAAAGCACTTACCTTCAAATGTATCCAATCCAATTTATGGCCAAACAAATATAAAATATAAGTATGGTCCTTCAAAACCGTAGATAAAAAAGGTTATTTTGGAATCTTGGGGATTTGGTGATTTTCAACTACACATAGATATTTTAGATTCTAATATTTTATTCCAAATTGTATTCAACACTGTAACTAGAAAATATACAAAACAAAAAGTTGGCCAAAACATTGAACGTGGTATTGCAGTCTCGAAAACTTACAGACGCGAATCAAACCACCGAATCGTCATGTTTTAACCAAGCATAAATAACCAATGTTTTACCGTTAATCTCCAGTCGTATCTGTTCCGCACAATGTTGGATTCGGATAATACACGGCGTAATTAGGCCGAAGGTTACAAAAGGATTAGTGTTTCATCTGCTTTCACAACAATAAATGCGAGAGCCGAATAATTTCTCCGGGGACCCACACGTCGACGGCATGTGACAAATGTGTGTTTGTATTTTACTAAAGGGGCTTTAGGGCTTAGCCATTCAGATTATTCTCGTTCTACGGTAATGTTACAGTAGGTGAAAAGCACTTTTTTGTTTGTATTTCATATTGGGATTGGTTGTTCATTATATTTTTGTAATTTGTGGTACGGTATTACATTTTTTGAGATTAGCAAATTTGGTTTTTTAAACTGTTGGTTTTGTTTGGTAGTACAGTATTCACATTGTGCAGTGAAAGACCTGTTAGGTTCGTTTAATACACTTTATACACTTTAAAGCAATAAAATCTCACTTATGGAATCCTCTTAATTACATCTGAAACGTTCATCTGATATTGACATACTACGTTTACAGCCAACTATCATTGTCAAGTCTTTGACTAATTGGTAGTTGAGGCGAGTCATCGTCAGGTTGCGTTGATTTAAATAAATATGCTGACTGTTCAACTATGAACAACTCGTGCGACTTATTGTGAGCTATAGGCCCCTACCTTCTTTCATAGGACACCAACTATCTCAGTAGCGACTTATAAGGTAGAAAATTAAATTTTAGATTTTAGAGACTAGCGCAATCTGTGACTGGTGCACAAAGTTCTTCTATGATAAATGGAATGTACTTTAGTATCCAAGAGTCAATGGTTTATTATTATTAGGTGGCTAGTAGGCATTGTTTTTTTTCGTTGACATAATTTTATTGTTATCTATACTGCAGTTTTTGTTGTTTATCCTTAATATTTTTTCGTGCTACAATAATATGTTTTTTCGCCCTTTTGGTGCTTGTTCTAAATGTGAACACTAAATTAAAACCCCCAGCTAAATATTATTCGTCTTTGCGCATAAAATACTCTAGTGTGATTTTTGTTTAAGGATTGCAGTGGACACTCAGTGTCGACAATATTAATACAATTAATATTTTGTTCCGTTTTATTTCCTAAACAGTTACTATATTTCAGTAAAACTTTCGCAATTCTGTGAGCACGGACACAAGAATGTCGTCGGTTGTCGGTTGGTGGCGACAGCTGCCTCAGTATCTTACCTCTACAAACACAGGTGTACATTATCTGAGCTGCCACAGTGATCCCATTGTCAACAACACCATGCTACTGGAGTCTCCACTCTCCAGCTCCAGTCTCGACGTAGGATTAGCCCTGTGTGTTTGCCCGTGTAATAAGACTCCGAGTTTTGTAAAGGCAGGATCAGGGTGGAGCTATAAGGTTTGTTGGTATTCGAATTTCGGTCGGTTTAACAATCACGGTTGCGATCAAATAGAATCTGAGAACCGTGGTTCCATGTAGTTTTCTGCGAAGTCAATTGCAGAATGGCGACTACTGAAGTAAGAGTCATGTTAATCGCCATCAGTGACAATATTCAATGTTTGTAACTGCGATTTGTTTTATGTCTGCAACCGTGACAGGCTTTTAACAGTTGCTAGTGCTATTTTGTAATTGTGACAGGTTTGTAACCGTTACCTGTTTTTCAGGATGCTTGGGGGCTGAGCCGTGGAGGGCGGACGTGCTATGTTGTAACCGTGATTAATATGTAACTGTGACTTCTGTTTTGTTGTAACCGTGACAGGTTTGTATCATTTACTTACTTGTTTTCAGGATGCTCGGGGGATGAGCCGTTGAAAGTGGACAATGAGCCTCAGTTGTAACTGTGACTTGTATTGTGTTGTAACCGTGACAGGTTTGTAACAGTTACTTATGTTTCAGGATGCTCGGGGGCTGAGCCGTGGAGGGCGGACCATGGGCCTCGTGCTCGTCCTAATGCTGGCCGGGGTCTCCGTCGTCGCCGCCGAGCAAGGTAAATTGAACATTATTATATACTAGGTTCGAGTTTCTATGTATTTATTAAAAAAACAAACAAAAAAACACGTTACAATCTGCATTGCACGGAACGGTTCTTTGCGGTTGTGGTTGCGGAACGGTTCCTCCAATCAATACTCCAATAACATGGACAGTCTCGTGTAGAACAGACACAGTCAAATTGACAACAAACAAAGAATAATCCAGACAAATCCTCACACAAAGTGGCATTAGTAGTATTCAACATTTGCTGCGTATTTTATGTGTTATCTCTTTGTGTTTTTCCTCCATTAGCCATTGTTAATCAATCTATTGCCGTGTTGGGCGTTAAAAGCCCCAAACATCGTTACGCTTAAAGTAGCGTTTAATTATATAAATATTTCTCCGCTTTTCACTTTTAGTTCTTGAGAGAATGGAGGTTCTGTCAGTTCCATTAATTTTATCTTCCTAATTCTATGAACATTTTTGGGAAAGTTGTCCGTTATGTAATAAGTGTTTTTTTTTATAATTTTACTGGTCTATATCTTTCCTGAACTCGTTCTAAATTGTTCAGTAACATTTTTAGCTTTTCTTTGTTTACTTACTTTGAACAAATAAATGTCTAAAATTGTATGTTTATACTTTTTCAGCGTCCCTAAGGCAAAACAATCAATCGGAAATAAACTGAAATCTTAGGAATGAATTTCCCTTTACCATAGTATGAAACTCAAACTCGACTTTATCCAATCGTGTTTCAAGTAAGAACATTACGTTTAAGCTCTAGGTCTCGCCAATGCCTCAAACAAGCTCCTACACAAGTGAATCTCACCGAGTTATCGCATGCAAATCGACTTACATTTTCTTCCACGTCAACATAACTTGAGAACAGCTGATTCATAGCTCCCTAATGGGCGTATGGTTGATCTATCTTTACCCATAAACATCGACGTACCCTAAGAGTGTTATGGCCGTTGATTTCGCGCCCCGAGCTGAACAGAGTTTAATATTTTCAACCGCAATCAACGGTGATATCACTATTTTTTACTGATTCTGGAGTGGAATTCCTTAATGCACATAGTAAAACTGATGTAGATCCATGTAAAGGGTGCGCGGGCCGCATAAAGCATGTTATAAATGGTGATTGCGTATATTCAAGAGCCCGATATAGTTTATGAGCCTGGACTCATTACCTCACTGGGCTTATGACAGTTACGGCACGTATGTAGGCCTACTACTATGTGCACTTCGCATTACAATCTATTCCGATTTCCCCCCTGGTTAGGCTCGAGTATAAGATCTGTCCTGGATATAAACATGTGTATGTGTAGAGCTATATTTGTTTTGTGTGTTGGTTAGAGAGGTCCAATAACACGTATGTCGACGTATCAAGATTATTCGATGTCAAATTCCAAGTAGGTTATTAATCAACAATATATTAGTTAACAGAGATTTAGTTTAAATAAATTAGTTAGCTAGAAGCATCTTTGAAACTATAACAAATAATAGTTCTGTCACACAAAATCGTTAAAATTATTAGGCCTATACATTTTGAGGTTTGAAAATTACGATCATTGCAATTTTTCTAGGTTTTGAGGGCACAATCTCACACTATAGACCTAATATTGAGAACAATCTTTGTTCAATTCACCAACCACCTAAATGTGTTGTTTTAATAATTCGTGTTATTTATTTTACAGAAATTTTGTTGGGCATAATCGTGTATTGTAACCAAATTTGAGTGTTTAGCAAATATTGAATCCCTTAAGATATGTGTTCGAATTGACGAGACTTTCAAACCGACGTCAACACAATACAAACAAAAATCACTCTTTTAGTACAAAATAAAATCCTCTGACATGAACCAGCCATTTAAAGGTGTTCACAACCTGTTAACCATATTCTGAAACAGAAACGTTCAACTAATAAAACCTAACCTGAGTTTTTATAAAGACATTTACTCCGTAAACCTCTATTTGTGAAATTATAACAATAAAAACATTAAAACGTAGAATTTACCATTCACGAAATGCAGCCTAGACTGATGGCCGATTGGCGTGACCCACTCAAATATTAAAACCACTTGTTAAAATACTGTAGAAAAAGTGTGAAGGGAAATGTAAATGTGGGAATAACGTGCAATGCTGCGGTCGCGTGCTGAACCGCCTATTGTATAATACACGGTCGATATGTTGCGGCTTGCTCGGGCGGGTTGAGGATGGGATCGAACCGGGCGACTTGTGGCGTGGAGGTCACAGCTAGTGGAGCTGCTAAATGCAACACATGATCGATGTATTGCGGCGAGGTGGATACGCTAATTCAAAGTCAAGACCACTGCAAAACCTACACACCTCAAATCTCTCCAAAATGGTTTAATCTCTCCTTAACTCGTGAGCCTGAATGACTCACACAATACGAAGTGTATTGGACGCGACATATAAACATTCATCATGATCACATAGTCAAATGAACATCTCCATTCCAACAGAACAATGCAGCAGTAGCTTACATAGAGGCTAGAGGCCAAGCCAGGTGGCTAGCCAGGTCGACCACACTATTAATATCCAGCCAGTAGTCATTAGTCAGCCATCAGCCTCTTGTCAATCCAATTATTTGTTGTCTCTGCTAGGGATCAATTAACATGTGACTATAGGCTATTTGTAGCCTTATACAGACCTTGCGCTCTATTGAATCCCAAGTGGAACGCGCAGCGATCTGTGGGAGAAGAATTTTCCTGTTTTGTGTGATAGTCTTGCTGCATCTCTACAATATAGGGTAATCTCTGTATTGAAGGTAAGGAAACAGTTGGGAAATTGTTTTTGCTCAGTCGGTGTAATTTAATACTGCACAGACTATAGTGTGTGGTGTATGGTATTGCGCCAGAGACTGACGACCCGTCTGTGTGAGACCAGAGCAATGTTAGATCGCACAGACTATAGTGTGCGATGTACGGTATTGCGCCAGAGACTGACGACCCGTCTGTGTGAGACCAGAGCAATGGTATACCGCACAGCCTAAAGTGTGCGGTGTACGGTATTACGTTAGAGGCTGGTGACCCGTCTGTGTGAGACCAGAGCAATGTTAGATCGCACAGACTATAGTGTGCGATGTACGGTATTGCGCCAGAGGCTGACGACCCGTCTGTGTGAGACCAGAGCAATGGTATACCGCACAGCCTATAGTGTGCGGTGTACGGTATTACGTTAGAGGCTGGTGACCCGTCTGTGTGAGACCAGAGCAATGTTAGATCGCACAGACTATAGTGTGCGATGTACGGTATTGCGCCAGAGGCTGGTGACCCGTCTGTGTGAGACCAGAGCAATGGTATACCGCACAGACTATAGTGTGCGGTGTACGGTATTACGTTAAAGGCTGGTGACCCGTCTGTGTGAGACCAGAGCAATGGTATACCGCACAGCCTAAAGTGTGCGGTGTACGGTATTACGTTAGAGGCTGGTGACCCGTCTGTGTGAGACCAGAGCAATGTTATACCGCACAGACTATAGTGTGCGGTGTACGGTATTACGTTAGAGACTGGTGACCCGTCTGTGTGAGACCAGAGCAATGGTATACCGCACAGACTATAGTGTGCGGTGTACGGTATTACGTTAGAGACTGGTGACCCGTCTGTTTGAGACCAGAGCAATGGTATACCGCACAGCATAAAGTGTGCGGTGTACGGTATCACGTTAGAAACTGGTGACCCATCTGTGTGAGACCAGAGCAATGGTATACCGCACAGCATAAAGTGTGCGGTGTACGGTATCACGTTAGAGACTGGTGACCCGTCTGTGTGAGACCAGAGCAATGGTATACCGCACAGCATAAAGTGTGCGGTGTACGGTATCACGTTAGAAACTGGTGACCCGTCTGTTTGAGACCAAAGCAATGTTAGATCGCACAGACTATAGTGTGCGGTGTACGGTATTGCGCCAGAGACTGGTGACCCGTCTGCGCTATGGGACGACGCCGGTCGCCGCTCTCTCTTGATATCGGATCGGGTTACGCGCGTTACAAAAACGAAAAATAATACGATGGGCCGTATCAATTAACAACCGTGGGTCTGGGCTTCGGACTAAAATCAATTTTGGCTGGGCCGATCAATACGGGTGAGGAGGGGCCGCCCGCCGCCTCAGCCGCCTCAAGACTACAACGTTGCAACTTATTTTGCTTATTTTGCTTGTAACTTGCTTGCTTGAGGTTTATTTTATTTATAATTCATTTAATTGTCTAGCGTTAACATTAGTTTTGCATCATTTTTCCTCTCATTCTCTGAAATGAAATCACTGAGCTGACAAGTGACTGATAAGGTAATGCATTTTTTCATAGAGCTGCGAATGGTAAACGTTTATATTTTATTCATTATTTAGTTTAAATTTATATCCAGTCAAAGGAAAGTGTAAAAAAAATATGTCATAGTTTTTATCAATGTCTATTTCAAAACGTGGTTCTCAACTAGAAACAAACTATCTCCACTCAGAAACAGTAGCTTCGGTCTCTCTTGGAACATCACTATCAACAACACTTAACCTCAACAGTCTTCGAATCGACCATAAATCCAAAGTCGTTTAAAGTTCTGTAATCGTTTCAGAATCACAATTGTTTACCGCCAAAAGTTGCACTATTCCATTCGGGAGCGTTTGGAAATTTATACACCCAATTTATTTTCGACTCCCATTCGACTAGAATAATAAACGCATAAAAGTGGTCGGGTTAAACGAAGGCGAAGGGGATCAGGTGCCGGGCTGATGGAGTTTCCATGTTAAACTTTATGATTATAGGCTTTGCTCGTATTGCATTTGCCGCGAAATTGTGTATTTTATGTGGAACCCAAGGCCGCTCTAGCATTAGCATATTGCTCGTCGTCGTCTTGCCGGACTGTGTTTAATTCGAATTATGTATGTAAATATTCCGCTCGCCGAGTAAACATACAAGTGAAGCCCGTCCGATTAACGAGTCTAGGATAACATGTTGGGACGGGACAACTGCGGTAATGCATTTATTATCGGCTAACTCGCACTC